GATGGACCACATTTCCTGTCTCCATTCATAGAGAATAGACATTTGGGTTGTTTCCAGTTTTGGGCTGTTATGAATGATGCTGCTATGAGTATTTGTGAACAAGTTCCTGTGTGGACATAAGTTTCCATTTCTCTCAGTTATGTACTGATGGGTGTAGTGGCTAGGGTGTGCAGGGAATCTGTGTTTAGTGTTTTGAGGAACTGTCAGTTGTTTTTCAAAGCAGCTGCTCCATTTTACATTCCCATCAACAGTGTATGAGGGTTCCAGCGTCTCTCTATCCTTGCCAACACTGGCTTTTTTTTTTTTTTTTGAAATGGAATCTCGCTCTGTCGCCCAGGCTGGAGTGCAGTGGCGTGATCTCCGCTCACCGCAACCTCCGCCTCCCAGGTTCACGCCATTCTCCTGCCTCAGCCTCCCAAGTAGCTGGGACTACAGGTGCCCGCCACCACACCCAGTTAATTTTTTGTATTTTTAGTAGAGACACGGTTTCACTGTGTTAGTCAGGATGGTCTCGATCTCCTGACCTCGTGATCCGCCTGCCTCGGCCTCCCAAAGTCCTGGGATTCCAGGCGTGAGCCTCCGCGCCCGGCCTGGGTCTTTCTTTTTGATTATAATTATCCTCATGGGTATCAGGCGGTGCACTGGCCAGCCCTGATTCTCAAATTCTCCTTTCCTTCATGGCCTCAGGAAATGGAAAAGTAGCTCTTCCTCACTGAAGGGCTGGGAAGCTCGCCTCTCATCATTGTATAAATGCTATCAGATATGTCTGGGAGTTTGGAGGCTGGGATGACCAACTTAGTACGCATTTCTATAGCTCCCTGTCAATTTAAAGTTCAGCTGAAAGAGAGAAAAAGAAAAACTCTTGCTGAACTAGAGTAAACAAAAATGATGACGCTCTCTCCATTATGCCAAAATAAGAATATAAATTTTAGCAACACTGTTTGGAAGAAAAAAAAGTTTTGGCGTGTAGCATCAATTAGCTGCCAAAATGGAGTTTTGGAAACCTCATCGAACAAGCTTTATAAGCTATAGGATAGGCGATATAAACTTACTTAAGGAATTTTTGGTGAAATGGTCTGGTGTTTTAATTTTTTAAATGTCTCCAATTCCTCTCAAGTTTCCATGAGTTTATCTATTTTAGAGACTGTTGTTGTCGTCATCGTTGTTGTTGTTGTTGTTGTTGTTGTTTTTGAGATAGGGTCTTACTCTGTTGCCCAGGCTGGAGTGCAGTTGCATGATCATGGCTCGCTGCAGCCTTCCAGGCTCAAGTGATCCTCCCACCTCAGCCTCCCAAGTAGCTGGGACCACAGGTGCACACCACCATGCCCCACTAATGTTTTACTTTTTATAGGGACAGGGTCTCACTGTGTTGCTCAGGCTGGTCTCAAGGCATCCTTCTAGGCTCAAGCGATCTTCCCGCCTCGGCCCCCCAAAGTGCTGGGATTATAGGCGTGAGCCACCATACCTGGCTGAGAAAATTATTAACTGACACCCAGGACAAATATATTTTCATCCAGTTGGATAGGCATCTACTTCAAAGCATCCTTAACAGTCACTGCCTTTTATTCTGTATCTCTCTGTAACCAAGCTTCTTGGAAATGTGGAGATATTTTAAAGTTGAAGTACTGTACAGAAAAGCTGTGAGGTCCCAGGCTCTTAGTGGTTTCTGGAAAGCCATAACCAGCAGCAGTTAGAATAAATGGTAGAGGTGGGAGAGGGATAATCCCCTGGGTTGTGAAGTCATGGGCATGTCCACCATGATTTCGGTCCCTCCCACCCAGCCTCTGGCCCCAAGATAATGCTGAACACATAGTAAATGTTCAATAAATACTTGATAGTAAGTTGCAGTAGGCTTTAGCATTGAGGTTGGGACTGTGGTAGCTTTCAGAAGTATTTTATGGCCTGGGAATAGGTGATGGCACCACCTCTAGAGCCAGGCTTATCCATTCATTCATTCCGCAAGCATTTGTATTGGTATGTACTGGTGTGAGGCACTGGAGACCTTAGGGATGCAAGTATGAATAGACTTCTTAAGTAGCGCGTGCAAATGCATATGTAAATCACACTATAACAGTACAACAGATTCACCAATTCACAGGGTGCCAGCAATAGGAACACTGGGAGAGGAAAGCCTAAAATAGTCCTACTCCCAAACCAGAGAATATATGAAACTGAACGTATCTACAGTATATTTCTAGCTCACGTACCTGGCTGTGATATGTTTGTTCAATCCCAATTGCTAGTCAGATATTGATGGGTGTCCTTGGCCACCAGGTGA